AGGAAATTTTGCATGATCCCCAAGTTCTGGGTATGATATGAAACCAGTCCATCTATATTTTATACCACCATTACTGCTTTTTCTTGCAATTGGTTTAGACAGAGAAAACACAAGGTTTCCCTGGTATTTATATATAAGGGCAAACTAGGGAGGGTGAAATAACCCTAAATACCAGGTATTTAAGTGGAATGTAATTACAAAAGCAAAAATTATTGCTTTCAATGACCCCCCAGGCAAGACTACAAGTGAGAGCATTACTTACTGTTTGTTTCATTTTGTTGGGTATTTTACCATCGGATACAAAAGTAATAGAGATATTTCCCAAATATTCAACTAGTTTTTCCTTCTCTGCCCAATACTTTTTTTTTTCAATTATAAGGGCAGTTCATGCTCTATGTTATTAGTGGCTAGAGAAAGTGAATTTTTTTTTTATTCACACAGAACTGGGGTACAGGCCAGAGATGTAGAGGGTGAGAGGATTCACCAGGAACAGAGTGGGAAGCAGAACAGGAAGATCGACGAAGTACACTGCTGAGGGGAGCAGCGGGCGGGTCAGGAGAGGTCTGCGATGCAATGTGGTCACCTCCGGGGCAGGCGGGGATCGAACTCATGCGGAAGTGGCTTTAGTTTTTCAGTGCAGTGCTTTAACCCGCTGCGCCACCAGGAAGGGTGGAAAGTGGGTATTTTAACATCCTTACTAATGTGCTCAAAAATGAGTTCTCTGTGATGCATTGTGGGGCTTTTTCTTCCTTTACAATTAAAGATTGTGTCCCCTGCCATGTATCTGCCAAAATGAGAACTCAGTCCTGAGACCAGTGCTAAAGAGTGAACATGGTAGTGGCTCGTCTATAGAGATGAATGTGGTAGAAGGCATACCCAGGGCCATCCTCCAGAGTCTCTAGTTATTTACCTTTGCATGATCTCATCTAGTTCCATGGCTTTTAATTCCACCTACATGCTGTTCACTCCTATGTCATCAGTTGGGGTCTGGGAAGAAAAATAGAACCCATGCTGGGTAAAGCAATAGAGGGAATTTAATCTAGGGAATTAGTTACAAAGATGTTGGAAGTCCTGTAAGGGCAAACTGGGGAGAGTGAAATAACCCAAAATAATAGCACCAGCAGGAAGTCACTACCTTCCCCAGGGCTGGAGAGACAAAGGGGGAGTTAGGGCTTAGGAGAATTTAGGAACATTATGACCTAGGAAACTGGAGGAGAGTTGACCTAGTGAGAATTCAGACTCTAGAAGGGATTTGTTCATACCAGAATGCTGCCCCAGGGTGACAAGGGAAAACACTCTGGCTTTCCCCTTCCTCTTGCCCTCTAGTGTACCTGTAACCTCCGCTGGTCAAACTTTCCCAGATATCAGCTGGCAAGGAAACTTGAGAAATGTAGTTTACATGGCTGATCTTTTTGCTGCTCTCCTTCTCCTTGCCCCCTATATGGGGCAAGGTCAGGAAATGCAGGAATTGAGTCAAAGTGACAACAGGCAAATCAGACACTACTCCTAAATTAGTATCTCTGGCCCACACTTCTTTTGAGTTCCAGCCTTACATTCAGTTGCTCTGCTCCCCTGATGCCTCTGCTTGGGTGTCTAATATAGTTGACTTAGTGTGGCCCAAAAGGAATTCTTGTTTTACCAGTCAACTACCCCTCATATTCTTGTTCCCAAATATGATTTACCTTGTGGCTTAGCCAGAAATCGGTTGTCACCTTTGTTTTGTTTCTTTTCCTTATTCCTTGCAACCTTTCAACAAGACCTGTTGATTCTGTGTCTCCACTATTGCCACCTTAGTCTGAGCCACCGTCACATCTGCCCCTAGGTCACACTGACAATGTCCTAACTGGCCATTTTACCGCTCTGCCTCCATGTTGGCTCATAACATACTTTCCGGGGGTCAGTTCTTGAAGATGTTGCAGGAAAAAAGAAGGAACAGGGACTTTATTCTAAGTGCTATGGGAGCTATGGAGAGAAATGATGGGAAATGAGAGCATAAGGAAATGATATTATGAGGAATAAAACACAGTGGAACAAGTGTAGAAGGTTAGGAGGTGACTATTTTTCAGCCTTCCACCACCACCTCTTTGCTTACTAGTCTCTGGCCTTCTCATTACTCCTCTAAAATGCCCAGTACCTTCCCCTGTTAGGCCTTCCCCAGGCTGGAGGGCTTGTCATGATTGGAGCAAACTGGGTGTACATCATTCAGGTCTTATTGTCTGTGAGATCTCTCCTACCAGGCTTAGTGATCACATTTGTTCACAAACATCCATCTTTCTCCTATAAGCACAAAATAGGATTACATTTTTCTGTACCCTGATAGCTAGCTTTGGCCAATGGAATGTGGGTACAAGTGACATATGCACCTACTGGGTGGAAGCCTTAAAAAGTTACGATGTTCCTGACCAAGCTTTTTCTCCTGCCACAGATTGGTAGTGCTCCAGATAATGGCTGGAGACATGATGGAGTATGGATGATAATTATTCAGAACTCTCTGCTTCCCGTGGACATATACCTTGAGCAAAAAACAAGTATTTGCTGTTTTAAGATGCAGGGACGTTGAGATGGTTGCTTCAGGCAGTGTAACTAACCTATCTAGGCTGGTAACAATTCCCCAGGTCTAGAGCAGCCTGCCTTGAGTCTCACAACTACCACCAGCTGATAATTTCCGCTTGATTTGGTTTCTACTATGCACCCCTTTCCAAACCCCAGGAAGGAGGGGCTTTGCTAGCTCCCAGTGCTGGTGCATGGTCAGTAGGCAGTAACCATTTCAGGGCAGCCCCAGTGTGAAATGGGTTGCCTGACTGGATCCTCCCCTGCGTGTTTAATAAAGGGGACTTATAAAGAGACACAGCTGTGGGCACACACACAAAGATTAGTAAAGGGTTTGTTTACACAGAAGGGAAATGAAAATATTAATAACTCAGGGAGAAAGAGAGAAACTGGTGAATGGGTCCTACCTGTTCCGCTGAGCTGGGACCCCAAGAGCACGGTGAATGCCGGTGGAAGAGCGGGCTCCCCAAGGCCCACATGTCTGGTTATACACAAAACCTGGTGCCTAACTCCACCCTCAGTTCCCAGCAATCCTCCCTTCGGTGGTGTTGACATGGGATTTGATCTCTTTAGTCTGGGGTAGGTAGGGGCGGGGTCCATAAAACCTGTGTACATCCTTTTCCCTCAACAGATCTATAAATTAAGCCTCCAGTGCTTTTCACATACAAGTATTTTTTGTTTGAACACTATTTTGCAGAGGAAATAGGAATGAATATATCTTGCTCTTAGCACATCGGAAGCACCAGAACCTACAGCCTATTCCCCTCTCTGTGGGCTGATCTATCACTTGGGTTACAAACTTCCAGCAAATTCCCAGAAACCGACTTTCTCCTAAAGTCAGCTTGATTCCTTGGTCAGAATAGTCCCTGCTAAATACCATATGCAGCATATAAACAAAAGCAATGAAATCTTAGAAGCACAAATCATGAGAAAATTTTCTAAAAGTTGGAGACAGAAAGGGGCAAAACTCATTTGGGTACAGTTTTCACCACTATATGGTTCAGTTGTTCCACCATGGGGAAAAAAAATGTTCTATGCCAGCTGAATCTAATTCTCCAGTAATGATCAAATCTCAAATTTCACTACTGCCATGAGATACCACTGAAAACACAATTAGTGATTACTCAGTTCACAGTACTTTATCATTTAATTTTAATTGAAGACTCTTAGACCTGCCAGAGGCTTAGAACTTAGAAACTCAAGTTTCTAAGTTAGAGGTTGTATTGCTTAAAATCATTGCCTTTTAAAATCAAGCAAATTAAACAATGCTTTTCTATTATCATGTTACATAATCCAGTAAAGCTAAAGATCATTCAGATTATAAAAATAATCCTGCTGTATTTTTAGGTTTTCTATTTTTGCTTCTCACTTAAATCTTTTTGAAGGTTTCAAGATATATTGAGTTATTGAAGAACCAGGTCCCTAAAAACAATGACTTCAGTGTTGAACTGTTCCTTGCAGGAACACTTTGTACGACACTTTCATTCTTGAGGGCAACCAGAGTAAGATTATTATTACACTTAGTTGGGTCTTCTAGACCCTACCCAGATCATATCCTCAATAACTCAAGTGTATTTAGTCTAATTTGCAAAAAAGTGCATTACCAAAATACCAGCTCACTAAACATTTCACCTGAAATTGCTGGAGGAATGTCCTAAACAAACTCCACGTAGAGGTTTTACAGACTTCACCTCAAACCCAGACCAAAGAGATCCAAGACACCGAGAACTACAAATCCCTTAATGTCACCACCACAGAAAGGACTGCTGAAAACTGAGGGTGCAGTCACACAGCTGTTTGGTATATAGCCAGACATAGAGGCCTTGGGGGCCCTTAGTTTTTTCTCCAGCCTTCAGCATGTTGTTTGGTAGTTCCAGCTCAGCAAAACTGTAGGACAATTTCACCAACTTATCTCTTTTTCTCCCCAAGTTACTCTTCAATTCCCCTGTAAACCCCTCACTGTAAACCCCTTTTAAAAGCACACAGGTGAGGACCCAGTCAGGCCAACCCATTTTACATTGGGGTTGTCCTATGACAAAACTAACAACTTTTAATGTTAATGGATAACAATTTCTGTGATCTTGTACAATCTCAATTAAATTTTATGAACCATATCCTCATCCTGTAGTCCAGCAACTACATACTTGTAGCCGAAACTTAAAAAACATGAACCCATTCCAGTCCTCCTAAGTCCTGAAAAGTGGGGCAGTTTGAATATGCAAGACTTTCAAACAGAAGGCCATATTCACACAAAGGAAATCATTTACATGTGGGTAAGGAAATAGGTATTTTTTTTTACATTGGCTTTAGTATTTTTATTTTCCCCAAACTTTCCTGAATTTGGTAATCAGTCAATACCTTTTTAAATAGTACTATTTACTGCATCTGTAAAAAGAAAATGAAAAACTAAGCAGAAAACAGAGTTGAAGAAAACTAGATGTCAGTCTATACAATTTTTCACTTTCAGCACGACAGACTTTATTTTGGCACTTTAACAAATATTTTGCTTTACAGCAGTGACAAAATATTTGCCAGAAATGTTCTTTTCCTGGCATGGATATTCCAAGCAGTTGTTATCCTACGAGCTGAATTTCACTATGCATTGCACAGCTAGAGGAACACCCACTCCATTCTTAACCTCCGTTAACTGATGGGGTGCTGTTTAGCTTTGGAAGATGCCAGCACTTCCCTTAAGTCACTCCAAAATAGATGGATTCTGCCAGTGATGGAACAAGAATTTGAGAATTAAGGCCATTAAGAATTTAAGTAAACACTGTTCTGAGTGCTGTTTAAACTTTTTTCTTTTTCTTAATGAGTTCTGTGGCAAATCCAGGGGATGTTCTCTAAATGAAGTATTCACACTTTATTTAAAAAGTAAATTGTATGTTGGAAAGGTCGCTGCTGTTTTGCTGTCTTTTCCTACTCTGGTGGCTCACAGTGTAAAGCAAAATTAACGACAAAAATAGAAGAAGGAAATGTTCCTTTAGAAGTACCCAGGTAGGGCACTCTCATACTTCCATCGCTTTCCAGCAACTTCCATCCAAAGCAATTGAGGCCCTCCTTTTAATGTACAGAGCCTTCCTGCCTGTGTGTGAACTACGATGTAAACTAAGTAAGGGATTCCATCTATTTGTTCTTCTGTTAAGCTTCAGGAGATATTTGGAGCACCATTTCAAAGGTAAATCAATCTCTAGGCCTAAGCCTTAACTACCGGAAGAGTGCTCTTCAGTTCTTTGGAATTTATAGTCCTGTAAGTTATTTGCAAAAACAGGCATCCATCTCAATACTGCCATCAGCTATCCCATAAAGGTTGCAAGCTTCACAATTCCCTGGCAGCCTTCCAATATCTGTAACAGAACACACACAAGGCGATACATTCAGATTTACTCTGGCCAATTCAGAAGCGAATCTGGTAATAAACAGCCTCATCAATGAGCTCTTTGGTTTGGATTTACGGATACTCTGGAACACACAGAAATCAAACCCACATCATCTTTGAAAGCAGACGGCTGTTAGTAAAGGGGAGATGTACATTTGATCGAAATGCATAGAATTTATAACAGTGACATTTTCAATATTAGGCCACATGATTTATTCAGTAGTTTTTATGTTCCCAAATTACAATTTATGTCTATTCGTAAGACTACAAAAGTTACCATTAGAATTGTCTGTGCTTATAAAATACCAACTTTTTAAACTGTTATATATACTCATTAACACCAGTCTGCGACAAGTTACATAGAATCATAGGCACTTCAAAGGCTTAAAAAGACGTTTACAACTTAAAATTGCATTTTTAAGAACAAAAACCAATTTTTTCCTTAAATCCATACTCGTACCTTCAAATTACAAGAAATTAACAAATACAGTGGCCAAAAGAATCTGCAGCAACTTCTCAAAATACTGTTAAGCATCTTTGGGTTTGCTGAGGCTTGTCAGTAACTCAAATCAAATCCTCCCAAAAGAAGATCTGATTAGATAGATATGACTAAACAGTTTTGTGGTAATAATCCAATTTTACACATTAACTTGCTATTGCAAATCTGTCTGAAGCTACAGGTAATGAAAACAAAGCGAGTGTAAAATGGACAGTCTGACACTTAAAAATTTATACAAAGTGGAGGTTAAAGTTTACATATTTGAAAATCACATATACACTAAATTACCATTATCTGAATTATCCAGAGACAAATTGCACTGTAACAGCTACAAAAGGCATAGAATTTTGTTTTGTTTTGTTTTTAAGGGGACAAAAGGTGTTGCAGAAGAGAGGGGGGGGAAACAGATAAATTAACAAAGGAAGACCAACTTTGTAAGGTCAATCTGAGACATGCTAACACAAATGAAACATCTTCCCTCTTGGAACCACTGAATAAAAACAATCCTTTTGTATTTGCGCATAAAAGCTTAAACCGATTCCATAAACATTGAGGATTTTCATAACATAATATTTTGCCACTGCTATTCACAGAACACTGCAGATGTTAAGTTTTTAAATTTTATGTTGTTCTAAAGAAATACATGAAAAGTTTTAAATACAATGGGGTTTTATCATTAAAGTGCCGGAATGGCTCTTTAATGAAAAAAACAAAAAAAAAAACAAAGATCTTCGTTAATCTATGCAAAAGCTTTATTTTTTTTTTCTTAAAGTTCAGTGATCTCATAAATAGAGACACTAAATGGGAGTTTCACGCATAAAACTCCTTAGTAGGTGCCTTCTGATAAGCAGCGCTGGACGGTTTGCGTTCTCCCAGGTCATAGCTTCCTTCATCCTTCTTCCTCATGCGATACACCAGCAGCAGGATAAGGAAAATTGCAAAGAGAAAGCCGATAACTCCGCCAGCAATGACAGCTGAAACACACCAAAGGAAGATTACTTTTAAGAGATTCCAGGGGTGCAGAAATTAGCTTTGTCAAGCCCAATCCATTTGCACGTTTATAAAAGGCTTAATTTGAAACCCAAGAAAATATAAAAACTGGATTCATGAAGCAACCAGGTAATTATGCAAATCTGTCATTTCTCAGGAAGGTATAATACTTTCTTTGATTAGTATGAATAATAGCCCCCCAAAATCTCACTAAGGAAAATCTGGCCTTGACCGCAAATAATTCCTTATTTTAAAATTCTCTAGTTTTTTTCAGTACTCACACTTCATGGTCTAATCTCCTAATTGCTTTTTTAAAAAGAAAACACAAAACATGCTATGACTGACTTAACTTTTGTCAGAGTAAATATTAAGAAAGCATGCAAATTTCTTTCTCAGTTTTAGATTTGGAACGATCCTTTCAAGGCTTACATGTTCTTAAAATCTTGCAAGTCTTGGGCCTCCCTGGTGGCACAGGGATTGAGTCTGAACGCTGCCATGCTTTCACCATATGGTCTGAGTTCTATCCCCAGCCAGGGAGCTGACCCACATGGCGCAGCAGACTTCTTCTGTCTGGCTCCCTGCTCTCCTCAGCAGTGAATTTCATTAAATCTGCCTGCTTTCCGCCCCACTCTGTCTCTGATGAATCCTCTCACATCCCCCCTTCTCACACACCTGCACCTCTGGCTTACACCCCAGTTCTATGCATAAATCTTTTAAAAAAAATCTTGCAAGTTTTCCCCTTTAAAATCAAATGTTAATTCTTTCATCAGACAAACTACAATTAGAGACAATCTTCACACCATGGTGTATTATTTGTGTCAAATGCCCTTCTCCCTGGGGAGCTTTTCCTTCTTTAAAGTTTAACTAGAAATGAGGGATAACCTCACGCAAGACTGATAGATTTGTACCTCCGCCACCCACCACCCCACTCAGTTGTCCTTGTGAAGGACACCTCAGTTGTCCTTGTGATAATACCCCTCTCCACCCCAAAATGGCAAGCCATTTGACAGGGGCCTGACAGAAAATAAAAACTTTTGTCTACACCTTTGCCTCTGTCTGAAATGACACATTCAAGCCTTCGTTCAATATCAAGCTGGGCCCAGACCTCAGAATATTGTTAAGGCAAACAGAGGCCTATTGGAGGGAGGCCTCTCCTACCTGACCCCCACCAGCTACCCACCTGCCAGCACTTCTGTTCGTTTAAACAGGTTGTCTGAATGCTTCTCAGTATACACAATTTTATTCTCTTCAGATGTGTCCGATTTCTGTTCAGAATCAGAGAGGGAGACTTTCTCTTTATCAATTTCTTCAGGTGACTGAAGAGGAGAAAGGAAGTATTACAAAGGTTAAAAACAACGTACTGCCAGGAAATAATACATATGTACATATACCAAAGTTGGTTTTCTTCACTGGTGAATTTGGGAGGTCACGGGGATCATCAATGTGTGGTGTCCACATCGATGGGTATGTCCTATGGAGGACCCATGGAGCACATGGTCTTGTATAACACCCATCGCCCATCTAGGCAAGAGGACTAATGAGGGAGTGCATAATAATTTTTTTTAAATAATGTAATTGTTTACTTTTACATCATTTTGTGCATTTTCCCATCTCAGTTGTAATCCCTGTGGGCTTCCCATCACCAATCACCCATGTGCCATCACCGTAGTCCAGTGCATTTCCCTCCCCACCACTGTTTTTGATCCCATTCCCCACTCCACCCCATAAAATGTCCCTGGTATATAGCTGTTCATTATTAGTATTATTTTCTCGCCTGGTCTGTTATACTCCTGCTATGAGTGAAACCATCTGGTATTTTTCCTTTTCTTTCTGGTTTATTTCACTAAGTGTGATCTTTTCCAGCTACATCCGTGTTGCTACAAAAGACATGTGTTTATTTATTTTTTTGGTTGCTGAGTAATATTCCATTGTGTATATGTACCATCTCTTTTTAATCCAGTCATCCACTTTTGGGCATTTGGGTTGTTTCTGTATCTTTCCAATTGTAGATAAAGCAGCAATAAACACGGGGGTGCAGGTATCTATTTGAATCTGTGTTTTTGTGTCTTCTGAGTAGATTCCTAGGAGTGGGATTGCTGGATCACACGGAAGCTCCATGTTTAGCAGTTTAGGAGGTTCCATGTTTGGAACCTCCAAACAGTTTTCCATGGTGGTTGTACTAGTTTGGGAGTGCATAATATTTTGAATGACATGCTTAGGTGATATTAGCTGACAATTCCTGAGATCTCTACTTTCTAGCCACTCCACTGAAGTCAATTAAAGATCTGTCACCTCCATGTTGAGCTGTTTGGAGACCACTGAACTGGAATGCAAGTAAAAGACTATGAGCAATGCTCTGTTTGGACAAGTAACTTTTGTGTGTGTGTGTGTGTGTGTGTGCCACATAAATTCACAACAAACAAGGTAGAATACTTTTAAGACTGGCATAAGTGCCTCTGAGAGACCTGATCAACAGCAAAGTCTACTTGCTGGCATCCTACTGGGCATGCTTAATTTAGCTGTGCCGAATAACTACAAAATAGAAAATTTAACTGTCATTATTTTTTTAAATTATTCACTATCAATAGCATCATCATCTGTTCCCAAGGACAGCATTTGACACATTAGGAGCAGCACTCCACAAATTGCTCATGAGTGGATGAATTTTTTTATGACATTGAACATATAAAGATACCAGGAATATCAATATATTACAGTGTCTTGGGATCCTTATTGAGCCCATCTACCAAACATTTATCTTCTTTATCTGGAGCTAACATAATTACTTCCGTAAAGTCAATTTTTAAAAGCCTACATCAATTTTCAATCCATTGCTATCAGTTGACCAGAACTCTATGTCAAATTAGGTTTTGAAAGCCAAAACTGAGTTTCTTGTCTCCAGGAGTGAGTTCTGCTAGTCACTGACGACATGAGAATCAGTTATGAGAAGTGGCCAAATGCAAATGTGGCAGATCCAATGTCCCTTTCAACAGCCAAAGTCCAACAGTCTGCCACAGATGGTAGTGGTCAGTCACCCATCAGCTGCACCTGCCACTTTTCACCCCCCCCCCCCGCCTTTCTTTCATTCATTCATTCATCTGACTAAGATTTGCGGAGCAGTTCAGTAATTTGTGGAGCACTTGGCATGCAGGGAGCCAGCTTATGCCAGACCTGTGTGCCTTGTTGCTCACAGAACTTCTCATGGCTTCTTTCAGACCTGACCTGTGATGTTAGTGTACACTGGTCACTGACTGTTCTAATTCTTCAAGGCACCTTCCAGTCTGAAAGGGTGGACCTGTGTGACCCAGGGCTGCAGACACACACCTGCCTTGTTACTCACCACTCTGTTCACATGCATTAGGAGAATGGAGGAAAGAGGAGAAGGTGGCTAGCAGGGGAGCAAGAGCAGGAGGATGTGGCCCTCCCTGGTGGTGCAATGGGTTAAAGTGCAGAACTATGAAGCTGCCGCAGCTACTTCAGCATGAGTTGTATCCCCAGCCAGGGAGATGACCACACAGAGCTGCAGACCTCTCCTGACCCGCCCGCTGCTCCCCTCAGCAATGTACTTCATCCACTGCCTGTTCTGCTCCCCACTCTGTCTCTGGTGAATCCTCTCACTGCCCTTGCACCTCTGACTCCAGTTCTGTACGCATAAAAAGTAAATCTTTATTAAAAAAAGAGAGAGAGAGAGAGAGAGAGAGAGAGAGAGAGAGAGAGAGAGAGCAAGAGGATGCAGTAGTAAAGGTGGGATAGTTGTACATGTTCCTGCCTGCAGGGGGTGCTTCTTGCTCCAGAGAAGTGGTGTTACTACCTTCAAGGCACAGCCTTCCACATCCTATCTGCTGCTAAAGCTTGGTAGTGTGCCATTTCTCACCAACAGATGGGTGTGCTCCAAGAGGAGACACTTGTGTTTCCAAGTCCATAAGCAGCAGGCTACTCTTGGGCTGTCCCTGGCAAAGTCTGCCACTGCCGTTATTACACATGCTCACTTGGCAAACTGGCTTGGTCTCGATGGCTTCAATGAAGGCTTCCAGAATGCTTCCTGGGTCTCAGGTGTCATAGTACATGAATTCACACTTAATCTTTTCAGTGACCCATGAGGAATGGGCTCAGGGAAGCTAACAAACTTGATCGGATCCTGGATTTGAAATGTAGGCTTTCTTCAGATTTTAATACCTATTTTCAAACTTAAACAGCTTACCTAGTAGGGGGTGGTCAATTAATTGCAACATAATGCTAATAAGGCCAAAATCTCAGGGCTCAGAGTTTTCATTAGCTACTAGCTTTGCTCTATTCTAAGGTCAAAAACCTTTCTTAAAAAGTCTGCCCTCAAAATGAACATAGAGAGATTGTATCCAGACTCATCATTATCATTAAAAGAGGTCTCTGTCTTGGAGAGCCTGAGGAGATTCTCAGAAATACCTTACTGAGACTAGTACTTGGAATCTCTTTATTTCATGGCCTTCAGCATGTATAAAGTGCACCGTGGCTTCAACTCCAATTTCTTCATAAAATGAAAACAAACTTTCTTGGCATAAGTCAACTAAGCTGCCCCCTTAACTGGGCTGTGATTTCCTGTAAGAAATATTCAGTGAACTAGCCTGGGTGATAAAACTAGTAGGTAGAATGAGCTATATCAAGGCATGAGAAGGAGGATTCTTAAATGCATATTACGCAGTGAAAGAAACCAATCTGCACAGGCTACATTCTACAAGCTACTAACAATGTGACATTCTAGAAAAGCCAAAATTATGAAGAGAGTAAAAAGATCAGGCACTGAGGAACAGGAGACATAAATAGGCAGGGCACAGAGGACTTCTAGGCCAGTGATACTATAATGATGGCTAAAGTTATTACACATTTTTCAGAACCCAAAGACAGCATCAGACCAATTGTGAACCTAAAGTAATCTATGGCTTTGGGTGAGGAGATGCCAACGTAGGTTCATGGGTGGTACCCATGTGCCACTCGGTACAGATGTTGATAGTGGGGCAGACTATACATGTATAGGGCCAGAAGATGTATGGGACATCTCTTCAATTTTGTTGTGAATCTAAAGCTAGTCAAAAACACAGTCTAGTCAACAACAAAAAAGGAACGAGTAAATGTCAAAACAATCACAAATGGAAAAGCCATTTACAATCATACCATGAAAGACCATTTGTCTAAACATAATTTAAAATGGTATCTCTGAAAAGGCCCATTCTGTACATCTTCAATAAGAGCGTTTATAATAACCTGATCATGCAAAGCAAAAAAAAAAAAAAAAAAAAAAAAACCCACACCCACCTTTGTCTGAGCAGGTATTTTGTTCTGTGTCTTCGGTGCTGTAGTTTCCACTTTCGGAGCAGCACTGGTGAACGGTATCTTTGGAAGTGGTCGAGATGTTGTTAGCTCGGGACTTTCTATGTCCTCATCAGCTCCTAGAAGGAGGAACAACAACAAGCTGAGCCATGAATCACGACAGATTTCTGTGTTACCAGACAACAAGAGACTGACAGAGAAACAGCAAGTTCTTTCAAAATGCCTGCTCAGAAACTCAACACAAACCTTCCGGTAATTTCACTGCACTGAAGAAGTGGTTTTGAATGTGGGATGTGGGACGCTAGGCAAGTTTTCTATATTATTTTCCTGGACATCCCTGAGTATCCCTGGTCTATTCCGGCTCTACTCAGTGAGATTTCTCCTTCTCCATTGCAACACGCTCCATTTTCCATTTTAAAAACATGATAATAAACAAAAAAGGAAGACACTCCTACAGCTGACCACTTACCTGATGGCAGCTACTGTCCCTTTTCTACCAGGTGTTTTCTAGTGGTGTTGGAGTCTCACCAGCCCTCTTCTCACTAGATGGTGAGGCACACTCTGCTCTACTTCCTCCTTCAGATTTTCCCCATCACCACACTATTGGTACCAATGTCCCCATGTTGCCATATTCATTGACAATTTCCAGAATGGTCTTCATCTACTCAATTCACTGGACACTAGCCAACTACTGAATCTGCTTACTGATGAGCTCTTTGCACTTCTATGACTGACGGCCTAGTTTTCCCCGCACCTCTCTCGATACTTCTAAGTCTCCTTTGCAGGCTCATTCTCTTCTGCCTGGACACAAAATACCAAATATATTAAGGTTAGGCCACAGGTGTCTTCTGATTCTACTCTTTCTCCCTCACCCATGTTCATGGCTTCAAAAACCACCTAAACACAAATACAATGGAAGTTGCTATCATTAACCATACCACTTCTCTGAAACTCAGACCTATGGCCTACTTGACATTTCATTTTGAGTGAGCTGAGGCATTCTACACCCTAACATGTCCAAAGCAGAACCTATGGCTGCCCTCCTTTCCCCTAAGAACCTGGTCTTGTCCCTCTGTTGCCTTGTAACTCTCCATTCCCATAAGCCACCACTCTGACTACTTTTCTTTACTGCTACATCAAATTTATCACCCAGTTCCACTGATGTGGCCCTTTGATTTCTGCACCCTTAACAGCTACTACAGTTCCAGGCCACCACCCTCATCCAAGCCCCTGTACTCTTTCTATGAACCACACCTGTGCCTTCTTCCTAATGCTCCCATTAGTCTGCTGTCCACAAATTGGCTGTGAACCCATCCTCCTCCTATTTAAAACTATTACAATGGTACTCACCTGCTCCTGAGATAATGCAAACCACTCAGGTCAGTCTTGAGGGGTCAGGTACAGGCCTATATTTCCAGCTCCTCAAGCCTCACTATCTTACTGTCCCCTGGACTCCAGCTGGGGTCCCTGGATCTTCTGCCAGAAGCCCTAATTCCCAATTTACCTCCAGACCTAAGTTCAAAGGTCACTGAAGGTCTCCCTTGAAAATTATGGCAGCATCTTCCAAAGTGATTTATTTTTAAAGATTTACTTATTTATGCATATGGAACTGGGGTACAGGCCAGAGGTGCAGGGGCAGTGAGAGGATTCAGCAGAAACAGAGTGGGGAGTAGAAAGGGCCAAGTGATGAAGTACACTGTTGAGGGGAGCAGCATGCGGGTCAGAAGAGGTCTGCTGCACCATGTGGGCCACCCCCTGGGGTGCGGATGGAACTCATGCTGAAATGGCTTTAGCTTCTTATTGCTGTGCTTTAACCCGCTGCGCCACCAGGAAGGGCCCCAAAGTGAATTTTTAGCACCACCTTTCTTACCCAAATCGCATGAATCACCATTTTATAAGGATGCATTTATTTGTGTAACTGCTGATTGAAGTCTGTGTCCCCCCTAGACTAGACTGGAAGCTCCATAAGGCTAAGGGATTGCATCTGTTCTGCTGACTGAGTGCCTGACAGTCTCAAGCATGCACAGGCTCAGATCCAGTACTGGTTCAGAGCATGACTCACCACCAACTGCCATCTGGGCACCTTTTTTTTTTTTTTTTTTTTTTGCTTTTTTCCAAAATAGCATTTGAGCATTTGTGACATTCAAATACAAAATTTTGAAGTCAATCATTTGTCAAATTTGTAACAATCTGAATGCTTTCAAACTCTAACTCAAACCAACCTATTTCTGAGACAGGAACAAAGCATGACTAGTTTCAAATTCCTCACAGATTCATGTTAATGTAATAAGCAGTTTGGAAAGTTAAGAGGTGACATACTGGAAACAGTGTAACAGCTCTGACTATGGTTCATGTTTTAATAGATTAACTGTCTCCTTTCACAGCAGTGTGTATACTCATCCTACACAGAAGAAGGTAAACTGGAATAAATACAGGACTTGACATTAAACAAAGCAACAACAAACCCAGTATTACTCAATGATCTTGGAGAAAAAAATGCTTGAATCTTAGTTCCTTCATCTGTAAAATAAGCCTAAGACTAGCCAACTCTCAGAGGTAAAAATTGACAACATTATGTGTACATAAGTGTGGTATGAAATTAAATCATCAATAATGACAGTCCCAGAAATACATTCTTTTTCCTATCAGCCTGCTGACTTTCCATCAAAGTTTTACTATGAACTACGTGATTTGTTCCTATAACAAGTTATTTTCTTACAAAAAAAAAAAAAATAAAAGTTCCATGAGGAATAGACACTTTTAACAGTTAAGGTTTGTAAGACCATCTTGGTTCACAATAGGTACCAATGTCGAACAGCAAAGCAGGGATGTGCTGGCCAGAGGCCATAGCTAGTACTTCTTGAGTAAGAGACAGATGCGTCTCTAGCTCTCCCTGCACTCTCTACCTGAGACATCAGAGGCCCAGGTGCCCAGAGCTATGAGCCCATCTCCAGGTGGGAAGCCCCTACTTGGGCGATCTCACCCTGAATCAGTGGCATCCACTCTCTGAAGCTCTCAATCGTGCAAGTGTTTCTTTATGTTTCCATTACTCACTGGCTCTTTTCTCTTTTATTTTAAATGACATTTTCTTCTACATATAAAATGAATACTTTTTAAAAAAATATATTTCACAAAAAAAATTGGATACAGAAATACACAAAGGAAGAAAAATTATTCTACTGTCAGAGAAAGCCATGTTCATGTCTTTGGGGGTGAAGCTGATGAATCAATGAGTATCCCTTCTGTATCTTCCCATCTTCTATAGTTTTCATGTCTGATAGGATAATTCTAATTTTTGAGGACTCTTGTGTACTCTCAAAATGTTCCTTTTTTATAATGTGTTCTTGTTTCACCACTAAAGAAAGCATTTTCCTATCTCTCCACATTTAGTATGTTTTCCTATCCCTGTGAGTTTCTGTCCTCTTCCAAAACTGGGTATTTTTCCATAAATAGGCAACCTTTGAATATGTAAGAAGGTAATGCTGAGAAGCTGATAAAAAGCTCTGGGCATATAGGAAACTTGTGAAGTGTGGCCATCATCTGAGAAGAAAGTGCTGCGTGTTTTGTTTGGAGCTATGGAGAGCTCCCAATGCCAGGATCTTTGAGTTGCTTCCTTTGAGTTTGTCTGGTTCCCCGGAGAAGACAAACGTCAGACTCAGTGTTCTGGGAACTGATTGGGAGAAGACAACTAGGGATAACTCAGCATTAAATAACAACTCTTAATCTAAGAATATGTTCTAACATCCATATGGTTTCTATACCCCTAGCCCAAAGATGCTCTGCTTTAAATCCAAATAATAATCATCCAGTTTGCTTCTATGATTGAGAGTGTGAGTCTCTTTGCCACATGACTGTGGGAAGGAATCAGATCTACTCGCTTCTTAAACAGACTTTCAATCAATTGCTCTGAATTTGGTACCACGGTCCTGTGACCTAGTGACACCGATTCCTGGGCCCTGAGGGCCTCTGCTATCTTCACAGGGTTGCTTTCTGGCTCCCCCACTTCCAACTAACTCAGTTTCTCACATTTGCCAGCTCTTTTACTACTTGACCATCTGCTTCCCAGTGGCTTTTGTCTCCTCACTGCTTTGTCCTTGTGAGTTTCTGCCCAAATTTCTTGAATGCTGGTTAAGTTGGTCACTGGAAAGTATGTGTGTTCAATCTGCCACTTTCACCAAAAATTTTTACTTATCTCTTGAATTTCTGTTGCACAGTACCTCCCTATGTCATAGCACCCATGACATGTTAAACTTTTTTTTTTTTTGTCATTTCTATGTTTCCCTCATCAGACTCTTGATTCCTTGAGGACAGGGGCCAGGTCTTTCTCATCTCTGGAGCTGGTCCACCATGAATACCTATGAAAGACTGAAGGGATGCCCCAGGTTTTCTCACATAAAAACGGAAATAACAGAATCTGCCCTAATAGAAATGTTATAAGGATAGGAAAGGTGACTGACACACAGTAAATGCTTTATCCAGCTTACTTATAACTTCTACTACCTTTAAGCTGAAAATCAACATGCCTGGTACAGTACAAGTTCCAAAGTCCAGAATGATGTTCTTCCACTTCTTTGGTATAATGAGCTGCCCCAGGCTAGAGCCAAGGCAAAAGCAATCAGGGCTCATATTTAAGCATTAGCTCCACCTATCCCATTAGGGGGTTCAGGATTGCAAGTGGCCCACCGCAAATCCCTTTCATCTGGATTGGAGCATGTGAGGTGGCAGAGGGCTGGGACTCTGTACCAGTTTGCTTTCTATTCAACTTAACAATTTTGTTAGAAATCAGCTAGATGACTGGGGTAACAAATCCCTACAAATCTCTAACATCTCTTAGCGTCGAAGATCTGTAAGGGGAACCAAAATAATATTCACATTTATTATATCCTGGGACATTCTGAAGATGACAGTTACGAAGCACTTTTGAGGTGATAAAAAAAGAGGTGCCATGAGTGAGAGATATTAATAGAGTCGTAGGCTATGGAGAACAACTCTTTTCTCACTCATTCTGCGTGTGTGATATGTATCACTCTCCCAGAATAACCAGGGGTATTTTTACATTAGGATTGCACTGTAAGCTTGCTGTTACTAGGTCAGGCAACACCTCTCTTGTCTTTCTCTGACTTGCTGTTTTCCAGCTTAAAACACTGTTTTTTGTTTGTTTGTGAGATTGCCACAAAAGATATGATTTAATTTTTCTAGGTCATTCTGGAGCCCAGACCAACCTGATTGTCAGACATCTATATTCAGCATGAACACTGACCATCTGTAGAACCTACAATGAACATTATAAGCAAGGAAGATCTTGATAAAACTTTCCTAGCATTTGCTGACCACAAATTCCTGACCTGACCACTAGTCATGTACAAAGAGCATACTCTCTTCCTCTTTCTTCTTGGGGCGATTCCCAGTGCAGGTGAAACATTTACCAGGTAGAACAGATTGCAAAAATGGCCAAAACACTTCATTCTCTCCTTGTAGCTTCATCCTCTACAATGTGGCTTTGCAGCTCCTCCCATGAAGAGAACAACTCTGGGATGGCTACATGGCTTGCTTTGGCTGATAAAATTTGGTAGCAGTGATGCTGTGCCAGTTCTAGCCTAGGTTTCAAGAAACTCTGCGAGATGCTTCTTGCTTCTCTGAGATCACTGCCTCCTCCTTGGGAACAAATGGTTGGTGAATCAGAGAAGTGGTGTGGCCAGAGCCAAGTCTGCCCAGTGGCCCCAGAGACATGAGAGTGCTCTGCACAGCAGCAAAACTGCATCCCACTCTGCAGCTAACCACTGACTTGTGAGGGAGCTTGCTAGCCTAGTGAATCTGCCAAACACCAGTACAGTGAGCTAATGAGTAAATGACTGTGGTCTTCAGTCACTAGGGTTGGGGAGATTTGCTATACAGTGTTTCTGAGATAACAGATACACTGTTATCTCAACGAGAGTTGCTATCACTGTACCATCCTTTTACTCAGCTGCTACATTTACACTCCAAATTTTGAGCAACACACTATTAACAAGAAAGTAGAACTCTTCTGGATCTCACCTACAATCTTTACCACAGAGCTGGCAGTTTTATGAAATGCATGTTTAGTAATTTCTTTAAGCATGATTGCCATGACATCACTCTGGAAGCCTTAACAATAAATTAAGAGTTACTGTTGACAGAACACTGACTGTAGTAGCCAAGCACCAAACATCAAGAATTATAGATACGTCAACCACTTTAATCCTCAAAACAAGCCCATGTGGGAGGAACTATTATCATCCCTGTTTCATAATGAAGAAACTAAGGTTCAGCCACGTTAAATACATTCCCACAAGCTTACAGCTTACATGGAGGAGAGCTAGAATTTGCACCCAGACACTTAGACGCTGAAGAGCATGCTTTGAGCCACTGTGCATCCTGTCAGTCTCCTTGAAGTTCCACACAGCATGAGTGTGTGCACACGCACACCTGACAAGAAAGCATGGAGGATGCAAGCGTGGGAGTAGCTGCCTTACCTGAGCCAGACGCAGAAGCATAGTCGTCATCATCAATAGGATACACTCCTGAAGCTTCTTCAATGGAGCTGTTGTCGAGGTACATGTCTTTATCAGATGTCAGCTCTGCTCTCTGCAGTAGAAATAGAAAAATTCAGGAGTGAGTGAGTAAGAACATGTTGATTTATCTTACTGTTCAGGTTTTCATTGCCTCTTTTTCCTTCATTCTTTTGAACCTCCATTTCTGGCTCAACCCTTCCTCAGGACACCCTGACAATTTGACTTACTGCAGGGGCCGGCTATGGATGAATGCCCCCCAGGGGAAGTCTATGCAGCCTAATCCAGTAGAAAGAAGACAACTCAGAGGCTCAAGTACCTATCATGAGGGTATTTTGTTACATTCCACTAAACCTTTTGAGTTCCAATTGTCCCAGTGCTAGTTATAAGCCATCTCAGGCATTCTCTTTATTGCAAAGTCACCACGAGTCTCCCTTCCAGAAAAAGATACAAAACACTTGACTCATTTAAGATTTTCTTGGGAATGGATACAAAAGTATTATGGTGTTTAGGCGAAATCATCACCCAGGGAGCCATCATGGTCCACCAAATGTTAGCATGGGCTAAAAAGAACTTTATCATTCTAGTCAAGAGCTCTCTAGTCACACAGAGAGTCCAGAGCCTTCAGCCTCAGCCACAGCCACATCCACGCTGATGCCAAGCATGGCATCCTGTGTGCAGCTGGGCCTGCGTGGTTCATCTGCTAAGGGTGAAAGTCCACCATGAGCCTGCTTCTAGGGCTCACTGGCTTAGCAGGGCCTTAATGACAAATGCAGATAAACCCACAAGAGCACATTCTTTTTATATTACTGGCACTGGGTAACAGCAAATCACACGCTTAATATGAAGAAGGATCATTTGCTAAGTATACCAGTTCCACAGCTTCTTAGCTGTTCAACAGAGTTTTAGTATTAAAATTCAAGCGGATTTAATCCTGCCAAAAAAGTAACTCACAGGAATTGGAGACAGAGTAGATGTATAATTTTTAAAATGGTTTTAGTAAATTGGTATTTTACCACCAGTATCTCATGAAAGCCCAGAAACAAATAAAGCAGAATGTCAGCTTCTAAACAACATTTATGTTTGAAAACAGGCAACAGTCATTATCGTCCTATTTTTAAAAATCAAATTGAATGTTTGTTCTGAAATGGAATTATAAAAAAATGCTTCCCTCCCTCAATTGGCTTTCACTAGAGTTCCTCTTAAAATAAAACTTTGTTTCAGCCATCACTATGACTGGAACCTTCCTAGGAGGACAGCCTTCCATAACAGTACCACTTTATTCTCTCAAGTTTCAGCTGCTGGCTACAGAGGCCAAAGTATTTTAAACCTGAGCCGATAGTCTCCACCAGCTTTCGGTGCCAACTGACAGAAAAGTATGGGAACCCACTTTGTTTGAGCTAACACACTAGCACATTTTGAGAACTGAAACCTCAAGAGTTGGTTTTCCAGCGGGCAGGCTTGCAGGCATTGAATGACCACCCTGAGCCAAGAGTGTGCTGGAATTTTTCTGCAAGAATGGTTAGAGCTTAACTCTGCAATCTGAGGCTTCCAGGGCTCTTACCGGTTGAGGCCATAATTCCCAAGCCTGTGAACCGTATCAGGAGCCCGCGTTCCACAGCTCCACCATCCACTTAACTGACCTCTATCAGACTCGTAGCTATTTTAAGGGCAAGGGCTATAACTCATCCATCTTTCATTCACCCCAACTCCCCATAATCAAATGCTTGGCCAAGAGGAGGTACTCAGTACACACTGCTTGAGCTGCCTGAGCTCCATCTTAAAGCAATTTGCTTTTTTCAAGTCTTGAATACAAATCTTGCTGGTGTTAAAAGAAGGTCCTCTCATTCTCTCGAATCCCATCAACTCCAAAACAGGTTCTGACTTCCCTGGGCCTTCTATGTCCCTTAGTTATGAACTACAATTGTGGATTTCGTAGCATTTGACTGTTACTTTTAATGATTCCAGCACGAATATCTTGCTGAAGGCAGGTCCTCAGTGATCTATGTGTGCTTGGTCCCTGCCTTCTCTAAGTACGTGAGCATGCAGATAAATATTTGTCCATTAAGGTTACCTAAAACAAACTGGCCTTGACTCAGGTTTCAGAGTTAGCACACGTCACAGGACCTCCAGGATGCCTACATTTAAAGTTCCCCGATTTAAACCTGGGAGATCACCTTCCCAGCCAGCAGGTAGTGCATCTACACTCAAGTGATCTAGAGTCTTAAAAACAGTACAAGACTCCCTTTGTACTATGAGAAAACTCTTTGCTTTTTAAAAATATTGAATGCCTTCCATTTTCCAGTTGGCTCTGTCAAAGAAATTTGATGTGACATGGGTAACACTGAGATATTTAATTCTTATGTGCAAATTGAGTTTCTATTCATTAGGTGACTCAGTTGTCCAGACTGACATATCCGTCACACTAATGGGCAGATGGGCCAAGAGACATCTCCCAGAATATTCTGGCCTCCTGACAATTAACACAGGCAGCCTGACAAGCAACCTCCCAGGACAGCTGGCCCCTTCTGAGGCAATTGTCAGGCTTGAATTACTCTAAAAACTTGGGGTGGAGGTCAGGGCAAATTTGGAGACACTGGCTTGCCCTCTGCCGTTTGGGGTATGTAGGAGAGTCCATGGTGGCTCCGGGCCTGATGGGATGTATATTGTCCTCCAGGGCAGCTAAAAATATTTGCTCTCCATCCTCTAGTATGGTGCAAGTAGTTTTGACATCAACTAAAAGTCATCTCCACTCCGATATCAGGTGGACCAGGCACACATGGAGGGGTTACCTGCCAGAGTCTCATTCAATAACGATCATGACCCTTTTCATTCCATAACAGATAATGCTCGAAGAATACCTCCTTTGTCTTTCTATTAAACAAAGATACCTTTCCAAACACAAATTCCTTTGCAAAAACTCCACACTCAGGATTTTCGCAGTTAACACGCCTGGAGAAGGAAATGAATTAGGCACCAATATTCCCTTGGGACAAGATGTGTGTCTCTTGAAAGCTAGAAAAACGGAGACTTGAGATGAGTGCTCTTATACCTAGCCAAACTTGGACTGCCCTGGAGCAGAAGGAACTCTCTACTTCCCTCCTGCCCCTGGACACATACACAAACACACACACACACACATACTCACACACGCCACTAGGAATACGGTACCTAAGAGGGAAGGCACAAGTTCTAGTCAGAAGTGTGCACTGCAGTCTGATGCAGGATTTCACAAGGAGGTTGTTTAATTTGGGACTGACCATTTCTGTGAGGAAGAGCCAAAGCTCTTGGCTAACAGCGCTCAGAGTACAAGCTGGAAGAAAAACAAAGCTGATCTTTCAGACCTTTCCCCCCTTGGCTGATGCAAGATTTGAATACAAGAGAGCAAAGGGAAGCTGTGGAAGGCAACCAGGTACTGAGAAGAGGAAAATCTTGCAGACCAAGAGAAACAAATTCTGTAAGTCGGATAAAGAAAGACAAACACTGCGTGATTTCATTCATGTACAGAAGACAAAAAAAAAAAAAAAAAAAAAATGATGACCAAAACAAAGCTAAACTAGAAACAAAATACTGGTTACCAGAAAGGAAGTTAAGAGTATGGGTAAGTTAGGCACAAGAGGTCAACTGTATGGTGAACATGGAAACGAGATTTTTGGAGAGCAGCAGGAAGTAGTATATACAGATGTTGACATGTATGATTTTTTAAACTTTAGTGAAGTAACAGTCTATATGTTTCAGGTATGCGTCATAAAAATCAACGTGTATATATGACATCAAATTCACCACTAAGGGCCCTCCATAGTGGCACAGCAGGTTAAAGCACAGCACTAAGAAACTAAAGACACTTCAGCATGAGTTCAATTCCCAGCCAGGGAGGTGACCCACACGGCGTGGCAGACCTCTCCTGACCTGCCCACTGCTCCCCTCAGCAGTGTACTTTGGCAATCAACATGTTCTGCTCTCTACTCTGTCTCTGGGGAATCCGCTCACTGCCCCTGCACCTCTGTCCTGTACCCCAGTTCTGTATGCATAAATAAATCTCTTTAAAAAATTCACCACTAAAAGTCCAATTCTATCCTTCACCATTTAAATTGTCTCTTTCGTTCCAAAATATGTCTCTTCCCCCACCCCATTCAGTAGCCACCAACTGGTCTTAAGAGTCCAAATGGTTATTTTTTGGTTTGTTTAGTTGACCTGTTTGTTTTGAAACCTATGTGATGTTATAAGCCAGTGTTATTTCCAAAAAAAAGAGTGGTTTCTTCTTCATGCCATGTCCAGTTATGGAAACTGAAGCACTAAGTTGGCAGTTCTTCCCAGAGCACAATGCAGTTGACTTGGTTTTGCATCCCCACAAAGTATAGCATTTGCTGCCTAACCCCTCTCTTCTTCTGTAGCTCCAAACTACAGCGGCAGCAGCAGCCTGGGGCACACCACTGTTAAGACCACCTTACTTGGCACTGGTCAAATCTTTGTCTATGAATCCATCCTAACAGAAAGACTGTTTTCAAGTGTGAACTTGACCATGTCACTTCCCTGCTGAAAACCTCTTACTGGTTCCCTGTGACCTATAGGATGAAATAAAAACAGAACATGGAAAGTTCTTTTACTATATCAAGGCTCACATGGATTTCCAGTGCCAGTAGCTGCCACTTCCTCTATCGAACCCCTAAGCTCCATGACAAGAACTCCCCCCACGGAACTTGGCGACACCATTTTCCTTTCTATCAAAATTTTCAGAGTAAACAAACACCTTTATGGCTAGAAGATGGAGGAAGGCAATGGTGATTGAGACCTTACATACTGGAGGATGATGGAAATTAGTATCTGATGAAATAATTCAGCCCAAACGTACTGTTGCAATAAAATTATTCAGAGAAAATGTTGATCCATTTTGTAAAAGACTATCAACGACATCAATCTAGGTTTTAAAAAGAAATATCACAAGTCTGTTCACATTCTTGGCAAAGAAAAACTTGTAAAAGAGCAACTGAAGTTGTTGGATTTTTCTTGTGCTGGTAAAACCTATATTGAACAAACACCATATTTCAAACTGCTGGTGTGCAATCTGTACTTAGA